ACATTCTAGAAATGTGTCTTACAAATAATAAATGGAAACAATGCATGAGAAGACTTAGTCATGGCAATTTCACTGGAGCTTTATTGCCTCTGTTGGTAATGAGAGGGATTGTAAGAAGTTACATTTGAACTTACAGAAACTGATTTTTTTTTTTTTTTTTTTACTAAATATAATCTCGAGATTAAGTGTTTTATATCAGGGCACTTCTAATTTTGTACATATTTAAAGTATAAAAAAAGGTTATAAACTTGTTTGCCGCCTTTTTTTCTTGACATTTGGCAAAATTAAATTGATCCATTTAAGGGGAGATCAACAAATTGAAGACATAAGCACTTGCAAATTAAAGCAATCCAAGTAAGCAACTGTCCGCATTCTTTTAAAAAAAAAAAAAAAAAAAAGGTATTACATGTAACCTAAATTGAAAAAAAAAAAACCAAAAAACAAAAAACCAAACCCCCAAAAAACAACACATGGCCACATCTGAGCACGTTTCAATACAAAATATTCCCTGTAACCAGGCATTTTGTCCTTAGAACAACACCCTGTTAAATCAATGTTTCTTTCAACTTCAGTCACTCATTTTGAAAAACTTTTAAGATGCCATCATAGCACAAATAACCCTTTTCTGCAACATAATTAGTCAAAGTTTTAGGTATTTCTTTATAATTACACAGTAATTATAAGCGTGTAGTACCAAACTGATGACAACGCTATTTTGTTGAAAAGATCTTGCATTCAAAAGGAATATTCTTTAAAACACCACGGCATTACGCCACTACCCAATGTCAGACTTTTTTGAGGGACAAGTCTGTACTGGGGTAAAAAGCAAGTCAGTTCGCCTCTCCAAACACAGCATACTTGAACTAATCAATCTGAAACTGTACCAAAACCCTCAAGACAGAAAACAGCACGCATAGATACCTTGTAGAGCTTTTTTCCAACACCCCCCCCACACCCCATAAGTTCAAGTCCCCATTTATATTTACACAAAATTGAGAAAGGAAATACTGAAAGCAGCAAACCACACTTTTTTTGGCATAGCCAATTCCAGTAGCTGGAGAAAGTCTGCAATATTTTTGTGGAACTGTATTCTTGAAATAAATGCACAATTGGATTTTCTTAAAAGAGCACTGCTGTTAAGGGAGCTAGCCTTATGGTCAACTTCAGAGAATACAAATAAAAAAAATTTTTAACAGTTTATTAGTCAATTTTTTTTCCTAAAATACTTCTAGCATCTGCATAAACATGTTCTGCTGTTTAGTGCACGTACCAATTATTTCAAAAATAATTCTGGCCTTATCGTGGGACTACAAAGCATGGACTTAAACCTCTACCCTTACTTGTAACTACAGTCTTTTTTTCCTGGAGCTCGGTATTTTCCAGCTTGTTTTGCAGAGTAGTATTTATCAAATCTCTTCATGAGTAACTAAGTGAGGAGTAAAAGACCATGTTTAGCACAAAAGCAGCTCAAGAGCTCTCATAATATTAAAAATAAAGAATTGCATCTGATAAAACCTGTTTTGAACAAAACAAATGATTTAGTTAAATGCAGTAAGACAATAAGAAGTAGTGATGGATCAACAAAATAATTTAAGCAAACAAAGCCAGTGTAGTAATTTGTATCTGATCTGTGCTTGTTTGGGAAAGCTTTACTCTTAACTTCTGTATTTGGCAACCACAGTGATATGTCAATTTAACGAAAACTCAACAAAAATAATTAAAAAAAAAAAAAAGGGTGTCATCCGTAATGGCAGTACCTATATGTTTTAAAGATTTAACTTACTTCGCAGGATAATGGTTTCAAAACCTAGATTCACCTCAAACTCACCAGCTTCTTGTACAACAGGGCCATTTGTTTCATCATACCTCAACCATAAAAATTCCATGTCTCAATTTAAAATACTGTATTGTGTAGCAAACATTTAAGACACAAATTCAGTATATTCAAGTTTCAGATTTCCACAGAAATGAAAAACCTTTCTTTGACAGATAAGCATTTCAAAACTGTAATGAAATTTGATTTCTTAGATAATAATCTAGAGAATATTAGATTCTATCATGACGCACACAGCTTATCTCAATGACGCTCACTGAAGGCTGACTATAACTTTAAACACGGGTGCTTTAAGTGCACAGTAGTTGTGTCGTTCTTCAACTGTGTTCACAGTCAGCTGATGTACAATCAAACCATTCAGATAGGCACCTAGATACCCCAGTATCAACAACCTCGGGTTTTATTGGTTATTTCTGTAATTGTTTTTACCAGATAGTCAAACTCACTTAGACAATACCTGTACTTTTCCAGAAAAGAAAAAAAAAACATCGGATCCTAGTACACTTAAATATATCACTCTTACAGGAAGTGCTATCAATACAGTCTTTGCAACTAGCCCCAAGTGTATACTTAAGGATTCTTTTAAAAATTGTTTTGATGTTGATCTGTATAATTCAGATGCCATACAACAGTTGTCTGATGATGACCAGCATTGTGCTTTATGTGAAACCAGAAACCTCAAAAATCATAAAGCTTCTAGGACTTATGGGAGATGAAACTAGGATGGTCCATCAAAAGGGAAAAAAAAAAAAAAAATCCATGATGAAATCCACAATGTTGGAATTTTAACGGGCAAGAGTGGTCCGGACTAGAAGAAAAGCCCAAACCACCAGTAGAAGAATGAAATATGATATGGTCCAAGATGTATCCTTAAAGGTTTGTCTCAACCCTCAGCCATATTGTGAGGATTGATCTTCAGTTCAGTCCAGCCAGCAGAAATTGACTGTGCAATTTTCCATTTCAGGTATTTGTACAGACTATGTACACTCTAGAAGGGTCCTTTAGTGCTACACTGTCGTACTTTTTGTCCCAGCAATTTGAGGGCGTGCAAATTCCACAAAGTCATCAATAAGAACTGGCCATGCCCCTAAAAGAAAAAAAAAAAAAAAGACCGCAACATAAGAACTCAGTTCAACAAGGCATTCTTTTTAAAGCTTCAGATGTAAACAAGTTATTTACTTTCCAGTCTTAACTAGGCATAGTTTCAAGCAAAAAATTGTAATTTGATGTTCTTGCTTGAAATTTAAGAGCTGGTTAAAGATTTCTACTTCCTTTAAACCCAGTTAATATGCACCCCTTTCAAGGTCGTACTTCCTTCATCTTCCTGACCAAAAAAAGAAGAAGAAAAAAAAAAGCTGACAAAAATTCTAGCTTAAAACTGTCCTGGTTTTGGCATCTCCAGGGTGGCAATAGCTGCTTAAAAAACACTGAACATTAGATGAAGCAGTCTATGCTGTAAACAGCAGTCTATCTGAACATACTACAGCATTTACTGCTCACAATTTGATTTTGCATGAATGCAATGCTCACCTGTTAGAATCAGCATACTTAGCCATACCTGAAAACCCCAAAATGCACTCCGATGGCCAGCAATATAGGACAATGCCCTAGGAGGCTGGTATTACACTATGTATCCTCTTCTGTATTCCTTATCAAGAGGTAGTTAAAATGCATATCGGTATTTTACATATTATGGCAGCCCTATCCAAAGAGGTCTCCAGTCATGTGCATGATGGTCACGTGAAGGTTAAAAATAATTGCGGGCTGGGTTTTTTTTTTTTCCTCCCCCTTGAAATATTTTTATTCCAAATCATTAAAACATGTTTTCTGCCTTTAATCCTTCTAAACTACATTGATTTGTTGTGGGCAGCAGCCCATTTGCTCAGTGATAAGGGAATGAGAACTGTCCGTAATTATTTAATAAAGTCATAGAAGTTTGCTCCCCTCTGCTCTGGAAGTATCAGAAGTTTACAGTTTCCTCCACTCACTGAACTGATCTGTCGCCAATGACTGAAGGTGATTAGCTGTTCTTGGCTACAGATGGACTGGAAGAGGAAAGATCAATACAAAAGTTTACAAGAAACACATTTGGTAGGAAGTAATGTATGTTTAGTAATCCCTGTATGCTGCCAGCTTCACTTTAATATTATTACATGTCCAATCTTCACATAAACTGAAGCAACCAAACTTAAAAATATTCTCAGCTAAAAAAATGCAATAGAGGACCCTACGAAGAAATGTGTAGGCCATGAATCAGTTACTTAGCTGAAGATGCCAACAACTGCACTGACAGAGAATCTGTGTTTTTTAAATGGACAAATACCAGGGTTTGTCTCAACAATTAATTAGTATCTGAGCTCAGACAGAAGAAAAAAAGAAAACAGATTTAAGAAAGTTTCAGCATTTTTTTTTAACCCTGCAGTAATAAACAGTTGGTAACAACATGCATTAAAGTAGTTCTAACTGGACTTCAGATCACCAGTGATATTCTAATTATGCTGTTATTAGACAGCTGTGCCAAAGCAGATACACAGTAATAAGTGTAGCATAAAAGACAGTTAAGAAGTTAATGAAAGAAAATGGAAATGTTTACCTTCCTCATCATAGTTAGACATATCATCTGCTATCATTGTACTAAAGTCTAGAAGAAGGTTCCAGGTATCCTTAGGAATTGATCTTTTATGATGTTCCTGTTTGGAGGGATGGAAAATTTGTATTTAAAAAAAAAAAATTAAACACCCTTATACACATTCATTTTTACTGTCTTGGACACATCTATATCCCCAAAACATATTTCTTTTGTACACACTACAGAGTGCAGTATCTGGGATCTGGATCAAAATAGTCTATTTCATCTACTCAATAATTTAAACTTATTTATCTTCCAACTTTGGAAATTACTGCAGTCCAGTTTATGTAAAGATTTAAACTTACCAACAAAAATTTGTTCCACAAGTCTAGAAATTTAAATCTTCCATTAAGTACTAAATTCCAGTAGGCAATGGCCATTTCTAAATCTGTAATATTAAAATATATTACTCTTAGAGATATACATTTCAAATATATCATCTCCACAGGTATCTTAACACTAAGATGAACCATATATTCATAAAGGTGGAAAGAGTAATCTAATGCAAATATACTCATGGATCCTTTACAAAAAGGCAACCACAAATAAAGTGTTACACAAATATTTTATAGATTTTGATACTATCACTTGAATGTAGAAGAACTGAAAATTGCCCATATAAAAATCTAACATATCCAAAACATGCAAGGGTATTTCATATGCCTTTTGCTATTTAACAATACTTTAGTTAAAATTCAGTGAAATATTTTTGTCTTAGAAATGCTATTGACTTGAAAAGAAAATTTGTAGTATTTTTTAGTAAGATCTGCTTTAATTTTTTTAATATACAAAATACAATTTACATAAAACTAGCTTTTTATTGATTCCATTTTTAGAGCAACGTTGTTACAGATGCTGGCTTTGTAACATGACTTTTGTCAAGTGTTCATTTCTACAATCAGATTTCCTTTCAAAAAAAAAAAATCTTTAAGTATTGTAACAAGCAGATAGTTGATAGTTGGTTGGTTTGTTGTTGGTCTTTTTGCGTTTGGGCTGGGTTTTGGGTTTTTTTTTTTGTTTGTTTGTGTTTGTGTTTGGGGGGGGGGGTTTCTCCCCCCAAAGACTCCTGTTAAGTTCTTGCTTGTTTTGAATCTGTTTCTCAGGATGAGTGAGAAACCTGAACTGACACGGTTCGGGAACAACCTACTGCCTGTCGGGCAACTGCGTGTTGCTGTCAGCAGTGGGTGCTGTTATGGTATAGCAGTTAGAAAAAGAGACTGGTTAGTCTAGCACGTAAGGAAAAAACAAGGGGAAAAAAAAACCCACCTCACCTCCCTGCTATTTGCCAAAGGCTAAACTGACATGTATTTACTGCTTATTAGTGGCATACAGTAACGTGTTAGCTGATAAAAGAAAGTTACATATCTGAGCTCTAAATCTCTACCTAGCATGAGCTCCATTACCAGTAATTAACAAGGACCTCTGCAGTGTATAACAAAATGTTACTAACTGTGATCTTACTGAATTCAGTATCCATCACCAAGTACATACAGTAACCCCAAAAGGCTACCTAGCTGACCTCTTTTTTAACAAAAGCTCTTATATATTTCGCAGTCTAGCAAATCTCTTCTTCCATAAACAATCCTCTTGTGAGAGCAGAGAGAAGAGGCACATGATCGACTGCACCTCAGGAAAAAAAGAAAAAAAACCTGACACAACTCAAGAAAACCACTCCTTTTCCCCAGATGCCCAAACTGTTTAAAAAAACAGGGAGGTGGATCTTAGAGGTGAAATCAATAGCAAACAAAACAAAGTATGAACTCTGCATTGCTGGAGGGAAAATAGATGGTGATGGGGGGGAATTTTTTAAGTGTTTAGTATCTTTGAAATTAAAAGTTCTTCTCGAACAGCATATTCGCATTATAATGCTTCCTGACGAAGTAAAGAATAAAATTTGTGGAGGATTTCCGAGCAGCTGCAGAGGGGTGTGATTTCAGACAAAAGTGTTAAGTTTGAGTTTCAAGAAGCAGAGCCTAATTAAACAGAAGTCACTACTCCTCAGTAAATAAGCTATATGTGAAAATGACAACTTAAAGAGTGTAAAGGCTAGGTATCTGTCTTTAACAGAAGATTCAGATACAAAAATATGCGCTCCAGCTTTCAACTAAAACTACTGTCTTCCTAAAAATGAGTAGATACAAACTTCAGATTAAGCTGATCAGTTCCTCAAGGAAACAGATTAGAAAACTAAGTTTTATTTACTTGTGATGCATTAATAGCAGGCATACTAAAAAATGAAAGGTCATCTGCTGCATAATTATAGTGGCTTATAAACCAACACTATAAACAAACTGTGCATTTCGACATTCTTATACAATTTAGAGATTATTCTTGTGGTAAGCAAAGACCTTTAAAAAACAGATCTTAGGATGCTGCAACCTCAAACTCATTATGTGAGTCCAAACATGTAAAGCACAAAGACATAATGCCTTAGGAAAAACTACATGTGATTTCATAAAATTTCTTTTAAAACAAAATTCAAAAGTAATGATGTAATTTTAGGTTTTCATAAGAAAGCAAAAGAATGCTCAGGAAAGTCCTCATGGATCAAACATGGAAGTCTCAAAATATATGCTCCATTTTGAGTTTTATCCAGACAGACACAAGAGAAGCAAACAATGTTTGAGATGAACATCAGTTAAAAGGTATTCTCAAATGATATGCAAGAACTTTTAAGACATCCACAGTACTTACACGGTAGTAAGGAATTATGCAGAGGAAATGCGTTTCCAGAACTGCCTGAACTACTACTATACAATGTTTGGAAGATTAGAGACCAATATACATTAAGATCAATTTGCAAGTTCCTACAAGCAGTTATTTAGACACTCCAAAATGAATTACCTAACTAGGAGCACTTACTTTTCAGCACTGTACTTCTCCCAATATTCTTTTGCTTCAGGGTTTCCAGAATTATTCTGCCCTATCATAAATTCATGCCTAGAACTGTATATTTATTGGCACCAAAAGGGTTGGTAAGCATCCAGATTTTAAGCTTAGTTTTACATCACTTCCAGACCCAGACTTAAAAGAAAAAAAATTAAATAAACCCCTCTTATGCTATGTATATGCTATATGAATCTGAGAAACCTGCGCTTGTCTTTGTCACTATTAGAGATTAAACCTGCATAAAGAAGCTTTAAGATGAATGACAAACAGAGCAAGGGACTTAGTTTTCCTGGTAAATATTTTTTACTGAAGTCTCTTCCATCTGGGATACTCAAAAGATTCATTTCCATATAGGACTGGGGGCAGGGTGGGGAAATTCAGAAAAAGAACGCAAGTCTTCCTTATACCTTAGAAATATGGAGAAGAAAATAAGAGGCAAGTACTACATCAAACAATTCCATTATTCTGAAGCTTTGAGAAAATATAATTAAAAATGATCATGTAATTATATCATTGTGATTTGTCATTTCACTTTTACCACCTTACAGGGATTCTGCAAAATACTCCTTGTGGAAGCTGTTTAAAGATTAAAAACAACATACAAATGTTACAACAAAAACGCTGCAACTGTTCACATTGCAGAACTGATTCCACAGTGACACTCTCCATAACCTAACTTCTATCCTCTCACAATTCAATTCTGTCCATATTTTCCTTGCTGTAGTAGCCTAAAACCAATAATATCTCTACACGAAATAAGCATGAGCCTTTTCATTTATTTGCAGGATTCAGCTCTGACTACATGCATGCACAAATATTTTTAAACAATTTAGCAGCGATCTTTTAGCTTCTTCAAAGACAATGAAACTCACAATCCAATTGAAAACAAAAGACAGGGTACAGAAAGACATTAAAGAATGACACAGAGTCGAAACTTAAGACATGCAGCTTTTGCTTATTTAGTTATTTTTCAATTTCTTTTTAAGCCAGAAGTTGGTCCACGTATAAAAGACAACAAGACCAAAGCAGAATGCTCATCTTTTTACAGCGCATGAATGCAAAGCTAGTCAGCGGCAGTCAGTTTAAGGCATTTTCATTACTGAGAAAAATAAATTCACAAGCTGCCAAGGAAGAACCTACTGGCCTTTCAGTATTTTATTTCTTCTCAAAAGTAGAACAGTTAACAGTTACAGAGTCATGAAATACTAGTTACGGTTAATATCTCAGCTACACTGCATATAAATGAATAAGCATTCTGGCTGGTTAACATTATTGCTTGAAAGAAATTTTTGTTCCCTCATTTTTGCTGTTTTGAATAGACAGATCTACAGTTTGTTCGTTTAGTTCCATCCAAACTGTGGTGTTTTGTCATGTTTTTCATGTTGGTTTTTGTTTTCCAAAAAAATTATTTTTAGTAAGTGATTCTTCCACTTCACCTGTTACACTAATCAAAAGCACAATCAGCAGAAGAGCTCTGAAATAATGAAAAAAAAAAAAAAAACCATGCAGTGAGCTGGGGGTGGGGGGGGAAGCGGCTGTAGGTAGGCACCTATTACCAACAGCACAACAGGCATCAAGCCCAGGATATAGAAACCTATTTGCACTGTTCCAATTCTATTTTGCCAAGACATTTGCAAGCATTTTTGGTGTTACGAGACTGTACAAGTGTCCTTACATGGAAATCAGTTTTACAGCTTAAATTTATCCTAAGAGTGAAAATTCCATTCAATTAACCTGTTCAGTGCTGCAAATTCTAAGTGGTATAATTATGCCTTTAATGTAAGGCCATAATCCATTGTGCTTACCAAGAACTGCACACACTCTTAGTGAAATAATAAACCCTCTCATAAAATTTTGTAGTCTATACTAGTGATGCAGATATTTCTACCAATTTGAACACCTTAAATTGGCATCTATCTTTCACAACAGAGAGATGTACTTTACCCCAAGGGTGGCTATCTTTCAAACTCATTGGATCACAATAACATTTTCACTTACTGTTTTAATCAGTCACTTCCTGTATTTACAAACAAATGTTTATAACTAAGAATACATACCTAAACCTTTCTGTCCTGGATTCTTTGCAAAGTTGAAAGTAAACTGATAAAAATCCTTAAATCTTCCTGGCTCTTTTAATTCTTGTTCCATTTTAGGAATCTGGGCCTTCAGTTTTTCTATGCTGTCACATCTGCATTTTAAAAAGCATGTTTATTTGTGGATTATTCATTTTGCCATAAAATACGAGTTATAACTTAAACAAAAATTTATAAAATTTTTGTGGAATATAATACTATTATGAAAACAAAATTGAGGAAGCCTTTAATTAGTCTACACCTATAACAATAAAGAAATTAAATGGTTGTATTTCTTCACATTGTCCTTTGCACATACCAGCTGATGCATCAGATTCTATAATCCACAAGATTTTTAGAAAAATGTGATAGACTACTACATTCTCATAAGGCAGAGAAAACCCAGGTATGCCAGACTGCAGACCAACATCCTTGCTTTACCTACCTGAGTAGCTCTATGGCAACTGACTGAAATACCCACACAACAAAGGCAAGCAGCACTCAAAGTTGCTCCCCTTTTTTTGGTCACTAAGCATCTAGCACGTAAGACAGGAGATTCATTTTTACAGAGACAGACCACTGATGCTAGACTCTGAAAAGTCTCTGAAGTCTTAAAGGACAACATGATTGCAAATTCCCCCAAAAAGGGCTGTTTCACCATACGTTCCAGTTTCTGACACTGGATTACACTGCCAGTGTCTAATACTTACTGCACACTTACCCTAGCTCAGTCATTCCATCCATGAATTCCAGCTTTGAAAATTCACACTGTGTTGCAGCTCGGAATTTCCATGCAATGATGAGTACAGTAATGCTGGCTGGGTCAAGAGCTAGATCATCACAAAACTGCTGTATACCATCTATACCAATTTTATTTTCATCTTGAGGATCTTTGGGATATAAAAGTAAGTATCAAAAAAACCAGATTTTTGAAAAAGCTGATTTATCCAACATGACTATTTAAGATAAGCAAACATTTCCAAAAAGCCATTTTTGGGATCAGCCCTTATAAGTGAATATTTTAAAAACAAAATTAAATTAGTATTTTCAATGGTTAAGCTTTTACAACTGAGGAAGTTGTTATAACAAAGCCTCCCATACAATGAAGCTTATGTTATTTCCATTGAGAGAGAAAAGCACCAAAAACATTTGTTTTCTGCCTAATAATATGCATGATATTCTGACTCATTCCATACAAAAAACAGTGGTCCTTTCCCACCAGTGCACTTAATTATTAGCATCTTTGGCAAGACTGCCGATCTGTGTACCATTATAAACAATTCTGTAGTGTCCATTTGCAAGCTATACTGATACAACTATCAAATCTGCCCGTAAACTACTAGTTCAACATTAGTTTTACGCATTTTCTGGCATCAACCAGCATGCATGAGATTGGACACGGTAACCTCCAAGAGGAAAGTTACGCTGCCCCATTACCGATTCCAAGTCAGCCAGGCACACTCCTCTTTCCACGAAGGAATCAACATCTGGTCTGGAAGTGAGATGTTCACATTTCAAGTGCACTAACAAAGATCTACTAACGCAAGCCAACAAAGACTTCAGGAAAATGGTATTTGGATTATGCACGCATATGAAAACTGACAGAAAATGTAGCACTCATCTATAGATTCTTTTTTAAAGTGCTAAAACACAGAATTTGTTCTACTGTGCTGAATCCACTTTACTGTTTGTGGTAGGATATCATCAGTTGCACACTGGCTATATAACAGATAAAAGAGACTTTGTTTTTGTTTTCCACTCTGTTTGTAACTATCTGATAATAAGCACAAGGTGGATAAAAATTAAGGTAGAATCCATCCTTGGTATGCAACCTTTCACTTTGTCAGCAGCAAGTCCTGAGTGATATGCTTTCCCCAGAAGAATCACCTAAAATCCACATTAACGATTACAGTTACTCACTGTACACACAATTCCAGTTCCAGACCCTAATCTTGTACAAATGAACATATATTTAGAGCACATAAAGCAAGCGCATGTAATCCTTGTGAAGACAGCCTACTTATGTTCCCTTTCTAACTTGTTATTAGTAATAGAAAAACAAAGCTGAAAGAGCTGGTTAAGATTTCCAAGCACAAGAGCACAGCTGCAATGATACATTGTAATTAAAAATACATACAACTAGGAAATAAGCCTTAACACTCAGGGTACTCACCTTTGTATCTGTTATATAGTTGTTCTAACTTCTTTCTGTCCAATGATCCTTTAACACTCTCTCGTATATAAAGTTCAGGATTTTGGAAAAAGTTGTCTGTTGCAACATCTAACTTCCAGTCATTTTGAGACAGACAACTCACTGCTGTCTTTTCACTAGATTGTGTGAAGACCATAAACTGACGCACTTTATCCTTCTGTGATGATTTCAACTTGTTCTAGTAAAAGGAGACAATACTGTAACTAGAAATGTTTTACTGGACAAAAAAAAAAAAAAATCATCAGTACTGTTAACATTTTTAAATTAGTACCTTTTATAATTTTCCCAAGCAATGAGACACTCAAACCAACACTTATTTTCCTCTTTCTTTTTTTTTTTAAATTTAAACTTACCTTCATTCTAGGTACTTTACATTGTAACAAAACTGAGTTAAATCATCACAGAAATCATCCTGGCAAAGCAATCACAGAAATAAAAAATGGGTATTCTTATTGCATATTTGGAGAGAGAGCTGAAGGGCATAACAAATCCATATACAGCTGTAAGATCGGGAACCTTTCTATTTAAACCAATTTTTGTTTCTTAAAAAGAAAAGAAACCCAAACCATTCTCTTCTTAATAGAAAAATGCTACACCTACCAAAAAAAGGGCAATTGAGATGCCTAAATAAAGCCCATGGCTATCAAAAATTTGATAGATTAATTGCCTCAACAGATGCGGCAGAACAGGCCGTTTAATAGCTTACCAACACTGAACAAGAGGCTGGCATTCATTTAGTCCCACCTGAGGGAGCTAAAAGAAACACCAGCTAGCGCAGGATCGGGCGCAAGACCACGCTGCCAGGAACAGGATCTCTTGATGTGCCTCTTGATGGCAGCAAGGAACTAGGCTGGGTCATCCATTCCAGGGAGCTACACACCAAAATATCTTAAAAGACTTTTTTTTTTTTAAAAAAAAAAAAAAAAAGAGATTTTTCACTTTGAAGGTGCTCAACTCCACCTACATAATTTGCAAAACATTCCTGTGAGGAGGCATTGTCTCCATTTCACAGGTGCAGCAACCGAAGCTAAAAGAAAAAAAAAAAAAAGGGTAAGTAATTTTGCCTGAGGCGGGCGGGGGAGTGAGTAGCCAAGGTGAGAGCTATGGAATTTCAGGCCTCCTGCCCAGACCAAGAGACAGCCCTCTCTGCTCTAGCACCAAACTGAATGGAGAACTTGCTGCCAGTAATTTATCAGCATAGCATGATTCCCAAGGATATTTTTGATGAGGAGAAGCACACCCAGTGTTTTCAAGGGTATTAGTTACACAAAACTAACTGCTGATCAGGAGAAAGCAATCATACAGCTCTTGCACTAAATCCAAATTCAGTTCTAAAGTTCCACGCAGAAAGATTCCTAACATTACAACTTGGTAAACAGAAGTTCTGACTTTTAAGTCAGGATTGGATTTCTTCCATGGCACAAATATTTCTTTTGTAGTTTACCTTGCATTCTAACCAAAACTTATATATTCTGTTCATTATTGTAATTTCCAAGTGCATGGCTCCTTCTCAGGGAGTATGGGGAAAAAAGGCCAAAAAAATCTCTAGAAATGATAAACTATCCTCAGCCAAAGAATGAATGGTTTAGGAGCAGTATGAGCTCTTCATTCCAAAGGATAATTAGCGTCCAATCACATTATCATTAGAAAAAAGAACTAACACTTCAGAACACAAATTCACCTGCCCTAAAAGTCAAAATCAGTTTTCTGCTGCTTGATGACAGTGAATGTGAACACTATTATTCGTAAGAGTAGTTAAGATACCAGCTTCAGAGTTACACCTTTAAAAAAAAAAAAAAAATACAAGAGCACCATATTTGGCTTAAACTGATACCTGCATAATATACTAAACAGACCAATACCCTTTAATTTAAGATCCCTTTTTAAAAGAAAAAAGAAGTCCCCCCCAAACCAAAACAACCCCGTATCTACAACACTTAGTTGAAGCCAAAATTTTAGCATACACTGCAGACTTAAACACAGTTACATTAGTTAGGCTACTACTTTTAAAGTTACAATGTGTTACTGCTTTATTTCAGTCTTGAATACGTTTCTCACATTGGACCTTTTGCTACAAGCATGTTTTTGCAACAAGCATGTTTTTGCAACTCAGATTTTCAGAAGTGGTTCCAGGTAAAGGTCAAGCCATCGGAGTCAGTCCTGCAAAGACCCACTGCTGACAACTTGTGCACGCTTCAAGTTTCACAGCAGACATTCAGCACCTTACTATACTGAGCTCAAACTTTCATAAAAATTACTTACACTGACAAAGCCACATGGAATGACTTCCAGAAATGACTAATGCATTTTTAGTTTCATTTTTTGAAAACATATTGTAAATTCAGATATATTAAAACAAACCATTGAATGAAATCCCAAATGAAGATGAAAGAATCGCAAGGTTAATTTTCTGTATCAATTACCAGCTTCCTCAAATCAGTTCCACACAGCCCGATGGCTGCATCACCACAGACTCTGCTGCACTATAAGGCAGAGTCACACTTAATGACCTTAGTTTTTCTTTTTTTGACAAAGTGGGTGCCTTTACTCACTAGGGTTTTTTGGGGGTTTTGTTTTGTTTTTAAACATGTACACCCAAGTATGCATAGCCCTTTTAAATAGTGAGTATTCTGTAAAACCTCAAGAGGCTTTGTTCTGCTCCACTCTTGCAAGGGTAAACTCTAAAAGCAATGACATACAACAAAAACTCAAGGAACAGGTTTACAAGGGCTTCACCTTGGATGCCGAAGACCACAAAAGGTAGTGGGTTTTGCATATTGTCACATAAAAGGAGAATGCAATTTATTAGATAAAAAAATTGCAGCTGATATCACTTTTATGATAAATTTTAAATCCTATATATGCACATGAGATTTTCCTGCGCTTGGGGCTCCCTAAGTGATAGTAACAATATAAACCTTTTTAAAAAGAACACTGAATTTGCCAAGAGCCAAGCAGCTAATTACACTAATCAGTATAGCATTCAGTAAATATATTAAGATGCAACAAATCACACTGTTCAGGCATAATCTTTTTCTGGAATAACTATATTTTTAGTGGTCAAATACAAGTTTATTTTTAGTGAAGGACTGCCCAAGCCCTTTCTTTATATTTGACGAATGTTTCCGCAGAAGCTTGCCAATGTGGACGAGACACTCCACATCCTAAGTGACCGGACAACTCTTTGAAGGCCTACTACAGGACAGCAAGAGATGAAATTACTGCTGAGTTTTTATTATCCTATTATAGCTCTTCTTTCATCACATTAAAAACCCACACTTCAAGCAGGAACAGGTTCCAAGCCTTCTGCACTTTTAAGGGCTATTTCTAGAAGCCGAGCTCTAACAGTCTATTATTGTTTTAAGTGCACAATACAGAAGCCAGAGCACCCTATAACCCTTACTCCTGTAGTCATCAGGCAACAAATACCTTACACTGCTGTATGTGCTGTAATGCAATGCAATCCATTTAAAATATCTCAACTTTAACACTAGTTAAAAGGGAAGGTAGAATTTTATTTATCTTTCTTGCTAAAATACACAAGTGAAAACTAATGGAAAATAAATGCAACAAATTTTCTAGGAAGTCTTACCCCTTTGGGTAAGCGGAAAAGGAAAAATTCAGATCTGCAGCCTTTGATCAAATTTGTGTGGTATCCAAACTACCCTTTGAAATAAGGATGTCACAAGAGCCAGGAGGTGAGCTTACTTTTAAAACACAGAATAACTTCTCTAAGTGAAAAGCTACATTGTGTAGATTCGTAAAACTATAATAATTAAATCTTTCCAATGAACATCTGATGATATAATATTAATTTTAAAATGAAAATTTGCCTCTTCCCATCAAGTACCAAATTTGATAATTCTAATCCAATAACCCATCCTTGACAGTGACTGGTATCAGATACTTCAGTGAATGATTAAAAATAAAAATTTAAAAAATACTTGGGCTTTTTTTCCCCCCAGTATTTTTTTTTTCTGGCCTTAGACTGAAATTCCCCCCCGTCTACGGGAGTAAGCTTTCCCAGTCTAGGGAAAAAAAAAAAAAAAAAGAGCGCTAGAACTGATCTGCCAACTCTGTATATGGTTGGTTTTCCTTATCTTCTACACTCAATTTTTTGTCACCTCAAGGATCCGCTCCGCACCCTGGTCATCAATGTTTTCTGGATAGCTAATAACCATAGGAGGGCTCCACTCTCCTGGATAATGTCCACGGGAAACAATAACAACCTTCGTCCCACACTGCCTGGACTAGAGGGCTGAGGATTCCTACCAAAACCCTGTTCTTGGACTTTGCTCAAAGGTTGTATGCGGCTGCCAGCTAGACAAGCAGCGCACGATCAGTTTGAAGTATCCCTGCCCAAAATTCCTTATGGCCCCCAAAGAAGGCATTCCCACAGTTACTCCTTAACAAGTAACTGCTTTTCACCTTTCCTTTCCCAGCCGCCGCTTACAGATGATCCGATCCCTGCTAGTTTCACTGCTAACTAAAGGAATTTGAACAATGTCACATCTGTACTTTTGTTTCAGTCAGAACTCAAAGAAAAGCCTGTTAAGTTCTCATGCATGTGACAGGTAAAAAGCCTTTTCTAAAATAGTAGCAACCTCCACAAAGTCTAGGATTTGATACTAACTGCATTTAAACTCCAGCAAGAGATCTGGCTGCGGGAAGCATCCTTGTACTTTCAAAGGACCCCAGCGACATCAGTTCAAAACCAGAGTAACTTCAGCCCACAGAAGAACGGGCTTGTGCATGTAATAACCTTACAGATCATGACTGCCAGTTTTGCCGCGTCTTTATGCGACACTAATGGTCAAGAGAATATTGCTCTCTTACAGTGTCTGAATCATTCCACGTTGGGCTGTATCCATTAAAGGAACATACAAGACACCTGAAAATAATCTGGTTTACTGCTTGTATTCAACAAATAAATGGCTAAAGCTTAGAAGGCAAAATCATGACTATTTTTCTTTGTTTGATAAGAAAACAAAAGTTAATCACAACAACAGAAGTCTACGAATACAATGAATTACATTTTAATCCACCAACTGTGATGACGAACATGTATACTACCAAAACCCCCATAAAATCCAAGCTAAAGACAAAACAATTAAATAGCCATAGTTTCTGTATAATGTAAACAAACATGACCTTCAACTACATCTTATTTTC